GCTTTTTTTTTTTTTTTTTGTCATAGGTAATCTAGGCTATCCTCAGAAACAATATGTAGATAAGGCTGCCCTTGAACTCTTGATCTTCCCGGTCTCACAACCTGAATGCTGGAGTTACAGGCATGCAGTAACATGCCCCGCTCTAAAACAAGTATCTATATTAATTATTTGGTCCTGTCTAGTATTTAGGAAAAAAAATTCTGTGTTCAGAAAACTATAGTATGTCAGGAATGAGAAATCTGGGCTGAGCTGGGCAGTGGTGGCACATGCCTTTAATCCCAGCATTCGGGAGGCAGAGTCAGGTGGATCTCTGTGAGTTTGAGGCAAGCCTGGTCTATAGAGCGAGATCCAGGACAACCAAGGCTACACAGAGAAATCCTGTCTCTAAAAACAAAACAAAACAAAAAAACAAAAAAACAAAAACAAAAAAAAAGAAAGAAAGAAAGAAAGAAAGAAAGAAAGAAAGAAAGAAAGAAATCTGGGCTGAGATGTAGGCTCAGCAGTCCAACACTGGGCCTGGAATGCTCAAGGCCTTGAGTTCAATCTTCATAGCTTTTCAAATAAAATTAAAAAAAAAAATCACTGGAATCATTAGCCTGAATTACTCAGTAGTATCATGGTACAGCATGTGCTATAAGCATTCAAGGAGAGACTGACATTGAATGTTCAGTACTGGGGAAAAAAACCTGATCCGCGTTCCATCTCCTGTACTACAACCCAACTCCTTTCTCCAGCTGTCCTTTCCTGGAACTCATTCTGTAGCCCAGGCTGGCCTCGAACTCACAGAGATCTGCCTGGCTCTGACTCCTGAGTGCTGGGATTAAAGGCACCACCTTCCGGCTCCCAGCTGTCCTTTTGGATGGTGCCATATACAGCCCAGTTTCAGCACCAGCCTTCAGTACTGTTCCTTATTTTGTATTTTATTTTTTTATTTTGAGACAGAGTCTTGCTATTTAGTTCCAGCTAGCCTAGTACTCTCTCTTTAGCCTGGGGCTAGCCTCAAACTCTCTGCAATCCTCTTGCCTCAGCATTACAGGCATGTGCCACCACCCCTAGCTTGCCTATTATTATTATTATTATTTTCAAGATAGGGTTTCTTTGTGTAACAGTCCTGGCTGTCCTGGAAATTGTTCTATAGACCAGGCTGGCTTCAGACTCACAGAGATCTGCCTGCCTCTGACTCCCAAATGCTGAGATTAAAGGTGTGTGCCACCACTGTCCAGCTTTATTATTATTATTATTATTATTATTATTATTATTATTATTATTTTAAGATTCTATTTTGTTTTGTCTATGTTTGCTTTGCCTTCTAGTATGTTTGTGCACCACATGGGTGTCTGGTACCCAAGGAGGACATCTGATTCCATGGACCTGTAGTTACAGATAGTTGTGAGCCACCATGTGGGTGCTGAGAACCAAACTTAGGTCCTTCGAAAGAGCAGCCCGGGCTCTTAACCACTGAGCCTCTGCTCTAGTCTCAGCCCTCCATTTTCTTACTTATTTATTTCCATGCAGGGTTTCTCTGTGTAGCCCTGGCTGTCCTAGAACTCACTCTGTAGACCAGGCTGTCCTTGAACTTAGAGGTTCGCCTGCTTCTGCCTCTTGAGTGCTGGGGTTAAGGTGTGTGCTACTACTGCTCGGCTTTCCAGCCCTCTGTATTTTAATGTAGGAAAATTGGATTCTGTTCTACCATGGACTGACCTGTGCCCTTGGATAAGCATCTTTATTTCTCTGAACTTCAGTGACTTCATCTTCAAAACAAGAAGATGAAGTAATCATTCAGTTTACTTTCTCAGGGCTAAGTATCTCTAGTTGAGGATAGTCTTAAAAGGTCTCTTAAATTCTGCTCCCCCCAGTGCCTTTCTCTGGCCCCGGGGAGGGCCAAAGCAGCCATCTCAGAGCCCCAGTTCCTACCCAGCAGGGCCCGATCAGCTTTGTTGGCACTGACACTGATTGTTGGGTAGATAAGCCAGCTAGTTCTATGCTGAACAAAACCCTGCTATGCCTACATGTTGAATGGGGGTACAACTCCCATTATGTGCTATAAGAACTGCTCCATGCCAGGTGTGGTGGCACAAATCTTTAATCCCAGCACTCAGGAGGCAGAGACAGGTGGATCTCTGTAAATTTGAGGCCAGCCTGTCTATTGAGTGTGATTTCCAGGACAGCCAGAGCTACATGAGACCCTGTCTCAAAAGAGTTCAAGGTCATGACCCTGGGTCATGTGGCTAGTTTGAGGACAGCCTAGGTTACATGAGATTCCGTCTCAAAACAAACAAAACATGGCCACTAATGACAATTATGTCAATGCCGACAGAGCCCAGAGAAGGTCTAGTGTAAATACCACCTTCAGAAAGTATTTACCAATAAGTAAAAGTGCACCCTGGTGGAGATGTGTAATGATGTACTCTTCAATTAAGGGTATACATGCCTCTTTTGTAAAATTCTGCTTAAATTCTCGAGTCCCTTTAAACCTTATTCATTGGCACCTCTTCAAGCACTGGCCTTCGTGTGTGCCTTATAATGGGGGCACTTTGACTGCTCCACTGACCCTTCCTGTCAGGCATTAGTTGCCCTTAATTTTCCTGAGAGAAGGGCACTGAGAGAAGTGTAGAGAGCTGTCCCAGGCTTTCGGGCCAGTGACTGGAGTTGGAGCTGGACATCAGGTTGCTATCAGCACTTCTTCCAGTATTCCTGATGATCATAACACCAAAGCCTGGCCTCCAAGAGTCTTCAGGAAGCCTTGCCCTCCACCCAGGAGACTACCTGTCCTTTAGTCCTTTTGGTGATGGCCAGTCTTCCAGGTGGTGAGGGCTATAGGTGAGTGTGGGACTCCTGGGAAGGCCTGCAGTCTTAAGGTTCTCAGATTTCTAGACCCAGTCCCAGAACCTCTCCCATTCCAGCTAATCTTGTGTTCTTCACTACCTCGTGTAGTAACTACCAGCCAGCATTTGTTTCTGGTGCTTACTGTGCCTTTCCCGACCTTACAGTATAAATTCCGGGAGGACAGGTGCGTGTTAGCCTGGTTTATTGGCAGACCTTTCTAAGAAGTCTGCTGGCCCCCGGAGCACGAAGTCAGTAAATATTTATCGAACCGAATGACAGTGAAATTTGAAACCACCTGGAATAAATGGTTCCTTCATTTTACAACAGAGCCACTGAGAGCTGGGAAGTGGACCTGATCGGATATCCTAAACTGCAAAGGGGTCAAATCTCAAAGCTCTCGGTGTCCCCCGTTTGTCAGTTCAACTCCACCCTAAACAAATTTTCAGAAAGAAAAAAACACAAGCTACTTGAAAGAAAAGCCATTTCCTGCTCATAAAACACGGTGATTCGGGGGCCTGGATAGGGTGGGCACTACTGGGAATTCCGTTCTCTTTCAAGGTACTCGCCACCTCTAAGGGGTAAGAGCTCACTTGGACCCACTGCGGGTACCCTGGCCAGGCAGCGGCTGGGCCAAGGTCACCAGAGTGGGGCCAGGAGCAATGCACAGGGGGCAGTCAAAGAACTCCTTGGCAGCTTCTGCCAAGTCAGGGGCGACGCAGGAAAAGACCTCTTCCCCGGAGCCCTGCAACCCACACCGCCAGCATTAGCAGGCCGGCTGGCCGCGTGGCCAGGCCCCATGTGCTCCACCTGCGGCGGCTCTTGGGCGCTGGCCCTTTAAGGTTCCTCCCCCCCACCCCCGCCCTCCCGAGTTGCATCAGGCACGTGCTCGCCCCCGTCCGCTGGCTGCGCCGCAGGAATGG